CGTGTTTTCCTTCGGTTTAAAACTTTGCAAAAGTTTCCAGAATATCAAAAGAAAGAAGTCACAATCACCCCCGGACAATGGTCTAAATGGAAGTAGCCCTCAAATCGCGCTCTGGTGCCCTTTGCTCATGTCCTCGGCTTCCATTTGGGAGCTGGGTGCCTGGAGTTTGGGGTTCAGCCCGCCAGAAACTGGACCTCAGGGAAATCCGTCTGTGTCTCACCAGCCTCCCCTGTCCCACCGCAGCCAGAGGCATCCCCGGTGCCCTGCCATCCCTGCCAGCTAGACTGGGAATTCGTTTCAGGGACTGTTCACTCCGTTTTTAGGCTTCAGGACGGCACCCCAACTTTCAAACACGAGGGTGAGTGTAGAAGGGGGTAAGGAGAGATCAGTTTGTTGGCTCGGCTGGAATTGTAAACTCTGGCTGTGGGGAGGAGCTGTCCCAAACAGGGTGTGGGGTGGGGGTATGTCCGGAGACCCCCAGAGTGACCCCAGGACTTGATTCCGAGAGCTTGCGGGCAGCCAGGTGGGCTGGGCAGGCCCACGGAGGTGATCTCAGGTAGGAAGGGGCTCACATCGGACCTGAACTGCCTCAAGCGTCTGAGTCGGTACCACCAGGGCTAATTATGGAGGTGATGGCGCCAGGCCACCTCCTCCCAGCCCGCGTTACAACCAGAAGGAAGCTGGGACGCCAGGGATGGACCTTCCCCACGGTCGCCTCCCAGGCCTGGAAGTCACTACTTACAGCTCTTGTAGGTCTTCTGGGCGCCGTCGGGGCCGGGTCCCGCGTGGCCCCCACGGCGCCCGCAGAGCTCTCACCACCCTCGGCCACGTCCCGGCGGTGGGCTGGAGTGACTGCTCTGGGAAGGAGGCGGGACGGAAGGGGGTCCCGCCCTGGATGCCTGGATGCTCGCCGCCGCGGGGAGCTTGGTTCGGTTCTCCAGAGCTCTCCGAAATCAGGCTGTTGACCCGGGGAGAGCTTGGGTGCACTCCTCCTTCCTGGTACAGGCTGAGTCACCGCGACGCGCCCGCGGCTTGGAGGGCTGGGCGGCTGTTGCATTCCTCCCGGCTTACCTGAGCGGGTAGGCTGGGCCTCACCTCCTTCAAAAGCAGCTCCAGCCTCCCGCTGGCTTCAGCGCCCCACCTTCAAGTTTTTCTGTTTCAGAGCGGGGCTCCTGGAACTAATGCAATCCATAAGCCATGGGTTGTCAAAGCCCCTGTCAGAAGTCCGTGTTTACTTCTGCGTAGCTGCAAGAGTACCTTTACCTTAGCCATGCTGGTTACGCAGGTGTGCTCCCTCTGAGGACTCAGCATGCAAGGTACTTGCGTTGCGGGAACTTTTTCTTGTTGTTGAGACGGCTTTCACGTAGTCCAGGTTGGCCACAAACTCCTGTATAGCCAGTGACGACCTTGAACTTCATATCCTGCTGCTCCTGCTTCCCAAGCGCCCTGATTTCAGGTCACCACAGCCCACTTAAGTAGTGTGGTGAGCATCACTACACCTGGCTTCTAAGAGTTGTTTATTATCGTTATATTGTTTTTGAGACATGGTCTCACTATGTTACCATGGCTGGCCTAGAATTCACTTTGTAGACCAGGCTACCCTCAAACACTTGCTTTGCCTCCCAAGGTCTGGGATTAAAGGTGTGTGCAACCTGGTCCACCTATTCCGCTATTACTAGAATTTTTTAGATTATCATAACACTTTTGTGTGTATGTATATATATGATCAACAAATACATATCACCAAAGGCAATCCCCCCCAAAACCTAGTTCCCTTACAACCCTTCCTTGATGCTCTCCAAGTTCAGATGTGGTATCAGATATCTCTAATATTAATTCCAGCAATTGGGACACTGAGGCAGGAGGATCCCAAATTGGAAGCCAGCCTGGATATACAGTAGGAAGTGGTCTTAATATAAACCAGCACAAGACATGCGTTTCTCCTGCCTTCCTTTTTTTTTTTTTTTTTCCAAGACAGCCCTGGCTGTCCTGGAACTTGCTCTGTAGGCCCGGCTGGCCTCAAATCCACAGAGCCCCCCCTGCCTGTCTCCAAGTGCTGGGATTAAAGGTGTGCACCACTACCACCTGGCCTTTTTTATTATATATATATATTGTGTAATCTTCTTTGGTGAGATGTCTGAGTCTCTTGTCTAGTGGTTCACTATTTTATGGATTAGTTTTGAGAGTTCTTTGTGCACCTATGTATGCACAGAGGCCAATGGAGGACAAGAGTGTTCTGCCCTGTCACTCCTCATCCTCACTGTTTTCTTGGGTCAGGTTTGTCACTGAACATGTAGCAATAGGCTGACAGCTGGCACCCCCCCCCATGACCCCCTTTTCTTAATCCCACAGCACTGGAGTTACAGGCAGTATGGCTATGCCCAACTTTTTACTTGGGTGCTGAGGATTTGAACTCAGGTCTCCAAGTTTATACAGCAAGCACTCTTCCTCTGTGGAGTCAGTCTTTCATCAGATACAACTTTTGCAAACATTTCCCTTCAGTCCTGTCTTCTTCTCGACAGCTTTTTATTTTAATTAAATCAAGTTTATCACTTATTTCTCTCATGTGGTATGGTACTTAAAGAGTCACTGCCATGGCTCTTCTGGGTAATTTGTTCCTTCATATACAAATTATTTCAACATTCAACCAGTAAAGTGCACAATTCGGTGGATTTTGTTACATTACATTGTTGCTTTAAATTGCAGTTTAAAAACAAAACAGATACAGATTTCTTTTATTTCAGCAATTTTGAAGTGTCCAACTCAATTGGAATAATTATACCCCTGATACTGTGCAAAACCTGTTTATAAAACTCTTTATCACCCCAAACAGAAATTATTTAAATATTAAGCAATAATATTTATTATAATATCCCTGTTTTAGGTAGAGAGAGAGAGAGAGAGAGAGAGAGAGAGATCCCAGTCCACCAATTCTTGGCTTGTGGACCCATTACTCTGACCTGATTGCCCATTTTCACAATATTCATCCCTCTGGACAAGCTGGAATCTACAGCCATCATTGTCAAAGAATGTAATATAAGCTGGGTGGTGGTGGTGGTGTACACCTTTAACCCCGGCACTCAGGAGGCAGAGGTCAGCCAGTTCCAGGACAGCTAGGGCTACACAGAAAAACCTTGTCTCAAAAAACAAAGCAAAACAACAACAAAACAGTATAAACATCACAAGCAAATAGAAAAGTCTTCGTGAATTTCACTCAGGAGAGAGCACAAACACATTTCCTCATTGCCAAAGATTACATGGTCAAGTTTCCTACATGGGGGGGGGGGACCACAAGGGGCAGCACACCCAGAATGCATTGGATGAGTCTCGCCATGGGGAAATTACCTTTACCAAACCATCATGGGCCCACCCTGCCAGGTAAGTACCTAGGCAACAGTGCACTGCTGTGCCTGAAGGAAGGCGTATTCTACAGACAGCCTTGCCTAACCTCCTGGCTGCAATTTTTCTGGATCCCACATTTCTTTGACAATGTGATGATAGCTATAAGCTCCCTCTCCAAAAGCTTCCTCTGCAAGTAAACAGCATTTCTAACACAATTCTGGTAGGTTCCTGAACTCCAGAAAGCTCCATGGCATTAACATCAGGGGCTGGGGAGAGAGATTCCAGCCACCTCTGTGGGTCTGTCCCCTGTCAGCTGGATTTTTGAGGACCTCTGACATTAATGATAAAAAGTAGCAATGAAAACTACATGGAAAGTAGGTTGAGTTTGGCAGCAAGAAAAGAGCACTCCCCCCTCCCCATAGCAGAGAGAATAAGACAGGACTTCAGGTGCTGAGGGAGGTGATAGAAATGGGAAGGACAGGTGTAGCCTTGTGTATACATGGACTCCTGTTGGGGGCCATCTTGCTTTACCCTGAAGCAGTCAAGCTGATGTGTGATGTCCTCTTCCACTAATGGGACAATTGCCAAGAGTTTAGGGGTTCCTTTCTGTTTTGGACCTTGCTATAATAAGAAGCAATAGATTTTCACCTTTGTCACGTGATGTTTTCTGTGTCAATCAGGAAAACAGAAACTTCAAGGAGAAACCTGTATCAAGCAAGGAGGAGCTGGTTTACAGGTGTCCTAGGGGACAACTGAGGGATGACTCCAGGGCTAGGAAGCTGCTGGAGCACACTGGCTGGTAGACAGCCAGACACAGGAACTGACTGTCACTAAGGATTCCCTGTACCCGCCCTGCTGCAGCTGACTTCCCTTGGGCCTTCCCATCCCTCACTAGCTCCCCACATGGGGAGGGAGTATTGGAAAGGCAGTTTGTTGGCTTTAAGCTCCATGCAAAATACAGAAGGGAAGGAATGAATCCGAGTGCCTTTGGACAAAGCTATAACCCCTCTTCTGCTCTCCCCAACCCTGCCTCTCTCTCTTGCCTCTCAGAAACTGTTTGAACTTGACTGCTTCCCAGTGCCTCATTAGAAATGGATCCGTGGTTTATAAGCGCAAATCATGGTACCCGGGAAGCCAGGGTTCTGTCTCATCTGCTCCGTTTTCTCCCACAGCTACACCCAGTGCTGAGTCAGTACCGCTAAGGGTGCTCTTGATGGCTCCATCCTCTCTCCAACAGAGAGGGCCAGTGTTCTCCGCCTTTTATATCCAGAGATGCCAGAGGCCAGAGAACCTGGACTTACCCCAACCAATAAAGCTGCCATGACTTGCCCGCCTGGCCAGCCTGAGGAAGGCTGACGCAGCACTGCCTGCTCCCTGCCACACCTCCCCAGCCGGTGCCCTGGCTCCCAGCCATGATGCCTATGTCTCTTTCAGGTCTCTGAGTTTTGGGATCCGAGGCCAAGAAAGGCTGACTCAGACGTGACCTCTTCAAGGCCCGCAACTTCCTCCTGCGCAGGGAAATAGAGCATCCTGCACCTCTGCCAAGTCCTGATCCCAGAACACAGGGCATGATGTATTGAAGAGGTTCAGTGTGCAAGAGGCTCACAGTGGAGGTCAGGGAGTCTAGTGACTGAGGCCTGCGCCGCCAGCCGGAGGAACCCTGTTCCCCAGGGTGGGGCTCTCAATCCCGGGTCGCTGCTGTATTTATGGTCACCATACTTCCCAAACTCAAAACTTATGCATGTGGTTAGGCACACACAATTCCCCAGTCACTGACTCTGACTTCTGTTGGGGGCCTCTCGGCAGACTTGCAGGATGTCCTATTTCCTAGGACAACAGGAAGTTGCCAGTCCTGGGGAGGTCACCAGAACACATAACTTGTCTTTGCAGCGCTCCTGACAGTTGGGGGAAAGATAATTATTTGTTGGAGACCTATACTTGGAACTGGAGGATGCCCCGCAGCTTGCTGGACCCCTGCTGGGTAATGCCAGTAGCATTTACCCAGAAATCCTTTAGTCATGGGAACGGAAATGGCCCCAGGCCAGGGAGATGGCTTGTCAGGTGCTGCCAAGACTGACAACCTGAGTTCAGTCCCTGGGGGAGAGAGAGAACTGATGACTCTTAAGGCCTCCAGACATGGCCAAATGTCTCAGGAGAGCGGTGACAAAAGCTCTCTTGGTTGGACAGTCCTGATCCCAGAACACAGGGCATGAATGTATTGAAGAGGTTCAGTGTGCTGCAGAGAACTGCAGAGAAATTCAGGCCTCACAGTGTCAAATCCTGTTACTGGGCTAGGGAAAAGGGTAAGTCTCACCTCAGAGAACTTCTGTGTTAAGGGAGGAGAGCAAACAGTCCCCAGGAGGCAAAGAAATAGACTTGGTTCCAGCCTTGGCCTTCATGAGAGAAGCCATCTGCTCATGCTTTACTCTCCTAACCTATAAAAGGAGGATTCTGATTGCACCTGTCTTAGAGGACTTTGTTAAACTTTGAAGTGTTTCTATTTATAATGCATTTTCTTCTAGAAATTTTTCATTTATTTATTTTTAAAGATTTATCTCATTTTAAACTATGTGTTTATGTGTGTCTCTGTGTGGGTATGTACACACCAGTGCAGTGCCCTTAGAGGCCAGAAGAGGGCCCTGGATTCCCTAGAGCTGGAGTTACCAGGAGCTTATGAACTGCCTAAGATGGGTGCTGGGAACCAGACTCAGGTCCTCTTCAAGAGCAGTATGTGTTCTTAATTACTGAGCCGTCTCTCCAGTCCCATGGACAATTTCATAGAGAAACTGAATTTAGAATTGGTGGTCCATGCTTGTAACACCAGAAACAAGTTTGAGACCAGCTTGTTCTACAGAGTGAGTCCCAGGACAGCTTGACTTCAGAGAAATACAGATTGAGACCTTGTCACAAAAGCCATACCCTCACGCAGAAGGGAGTGGATGTAGTGCAGTTGGTTGAGGACCTGCCTAACACATAGAAAATGCTGGATTTAATTCCCAGAATCACCCAAACCAGGGTATGGTGGTTCATGCATGAATTACCAGAACTGGGGAGGTAAAGGCAGGTGGCTCAGAAGTTGAGAGGCTCAGAAGTTCGGAGGCACCCTTATCTACATAGGGAGTTTGTGGGCAGGTTTGGTTCATCCTTGGCTACACAGGCTTGGTGTCATGGGGCCTTGCCTAAGCAGACAAAACAGCAACAAAACAGGTGACACCACTGAGCTTCATCACTTGGGTTTAGTTCTCAGGCCGCTGATGGTGGCAGCAGTCCTCTGACTTCCACACATTGCTGTACATACCCTGCTGCAGTAAATAAAGTAATAAGGAATTTTAATTTGAAAAATGGCAACAAAATCAAAGGGTTAGGAGGTTTAGCTCAGTGGTAGGGCACTTGCCTAGCAAGTGCAAGATCCTAGGTTAGGTCCCCAACACTGGGAGAATAAAAGGAAAAAGAAAAAAAAAAAAGGAGAGGTACAGAGAGATCCCATACACACGTCAGAGTCAATCCACCCACTAACATTTGTTACAGCGAATAAACCAGCACTGACACATCATTACTAACTAAAGCCCCAGTTAATTCAGTTTAACTAATATCTTTTCTCGGAGCCAGAATCCTGTCCAGGACATCTCATATTTAACTGCCAAGTCTCTCCCTCCCTCCCTCCCCCTCAATTATTTTTAATTTTTTACAGGTGAGTGTTTTGCCTGCATATATGTCTCCACACTATGCTCATGCTTGATGCCCACGGAGGCCAGAAGAGGGTATCAGAGTTCCTGGAACCCGAGCTACAAATGGCTGTGAGCTGCTGTCCTAGTTAGGATTACTATTGGTGTGATGAAATACTGTGGCCAAAAACAACTTGGGGAAGACAATGTTTATTTATTTGGCTCACACTTCTACATCACTGTTCATTACTGAAGGAAGTCAGGACAGGAACTCAAATAGGGCAAGAACCAGGAGGCAGGAGCTGAGGCAAAAGCCATGGAAGAATGTGGATGACTGGCTTCTCAGCCTGCTTTCTTATAGAACCTAGGACCACCTGGGAGGGACAGCCCTACCCACCATGGGCTGGTTAAGAAAATGCCTTACAGACTTGCCTACAACCTGGCCTTATTTAGGTATTTTTCTCAAATGAGGCTCTCTCCTCTCGGATAATTCTAGCTTGTGTCAAGTTGACATAAAACCAGCCAGCACAGCTATTGTGTGTGTGTGTGCTGGGAATTGAATGGAGGTCCTTCTGGAAGAGTAGCCAATGCTCTTAACAGCTGAACCATCTCTCATGTCTACTGTAAAGTCTCTTTATGGCCCTCTTGGCTGTGATCATGGTCCTAGACCTTTCTTACTTTTGATGATCTGGGAAGATCTGAGAAATCGGTGAGCTCTACTATTGAAATGAGATTTGCCCTGATCTTTTCTCGTGATTATACAGGGATTGTGTTCTAAGGAGGAAGATCACAGAGGTCAAGCATCATTCCTATGATGTCATAATAAGAGGACACTATGAGTGTGACTGGGGCTGTTGATATCGACCTTGACCATTTTTCACTGTAGAGTGACCTCCTTCCCTCTGGACTCAAGTGCTGGAAAGGAAGTCAGCCTTGTGCCGAGCACACTTGAAAAATGGGGAGCATCACAGAGCTGTGAAGATGGACTGTTAGGGAATGTAAGGGCTGGGGATGGAGCTCAGTGGTAGAGCTCTTGTCTAGCATTCAGTAGGTCCTAGGTTCAATTCTTGGCCAACACTGCTCCATATATATGATGGGGCAGGCTTTGTGGCACATACCTGCAATTCCAACAGTCAGGAGACAGGGATAGAGGCTGGAAAATTTAAGGACTGTTTGGTCTACATTGTGTATTCTAGACCATCCAAGGATACATAGTGAAACCATTTCTCAAAAAGGGGGAGGGGTCTTGAGAGACAGTTCAGTACCTAAAAGCACGTGTTCTTGCAGAAGACCCAGGTTCAATTCCCTGCACCCACCTGACAGCTCACAACCATTGTCTTCACTACTTTTCTGTCACTCTGATGAAACAAGTGTCTTAG